GTTTCATCAAGTTTTCCGCAAACATGGGTGACAGTATGCTTTCGGGATCACTACGCTAACTTCGCATAACTACTTGCTTATTTCGTAGCAGTAAGCATGTTTTCTCACGACAAAGGTCCGATACTGTCCATCCACACTGCACTCCCCACACGAAAATCTTCGGCGACCTGCGGTCACTTTTAGTTTTATTAGTTTCAGTTTGATGTAGTTAGTTTAGCTTAGTCTGTTTTCGGTCTAATATTTAGTTTCATCAGTTTGAGTTTAGCTTTAGTTTAAATTTTCCTTAATATTTAGTTTATTATTTAGGTATATAAGTTTTATTTTAGTTTACTTTAGTTCTGTGCGCAATTCCACAATTAGTGTAGTTCTTGATTCCTATTGGTTTTAAATAATTTTTCCTATTAGTTTCTACCTTTATACTTTCTTTTTTTATTTTGCCTGCTATGCTCCATTCATTCACCTCCTATTACCACCGGTCCTCTATTGCAGATTGCTGGGGTTTGCGCTTGCTGTAGTGAGCCCGAAACTAGATTGTTACCCAAAAATGAAATCCGCCAAAGTAGGCATGCTTTCCTGACAAATGCAAACCAATTTAAATGCATTGTGGTACAAAATGGAGACAGCCGAAATAAAAAAATACTCACCTCACTTTTCGAGTAATATGCGGCAACAGGAGTCGCTTCCAAGCGTCATCAAAGGAGTCCATTACAAAGTTGTGGTGTGCAGGGTGGACTGAGGGAAGGTAGAGGGTAGCAACGAGGCGACGTAGTTCGCCAAAAAGACATTGTGGAAAGTTGAGTTTGACTTTAATTAGTTTTTTCTCCTCAGCCCGATTTATGGCGAGGATCTTAAAAGGAATGCAAAATAAGAAATCCCAAATTAGCAGTGATAATGGAGGGTGAATCCTTCCGGAAGGAATAGAGGAGTGGGACTGTCCAGACAAAAAGGCCTGTCTGAATCTCCGACTTTCCGACAATGGAAATTGCGAGCATGCATCAGGACTTGTGCGCACAGACATTAGTACACGCATTCATGGTTACACTCATCACCACTGTCGTAATGGGAATAGACAAAACCGCTCGATTAAGTACAGTAGGTTCACTAACTCATGAAATCCAAGGATTTTTACAAGTAACTTCCTGTTACTCAAACGCAACCGAAGCTGCGGCCCCAAAAGTCTTACGACAATAAACTAATGGTCGTTCTTCACAATAGGGCATGTTGTGATTTATGAAGGAATATAACGTTTAATAGAAATACAAGCTTTTTTAGCAAAGTGGAAAATTCCGAAAATGTGGAAATCGGGCGTACTAGGTTAACTTAAGTTCTACTTGTAGAGGATGCCTGTTTATACAAAGCCACCGAGTGAATATAGCAGGAAAGTAAAATTACGTTGGAAATAATCATTTTGTAAAGTTTTCGTATATATTTGCTTCCATATTACGTGGAATGTATCTATGGATGTTGCCGAACAGCCCAAATTTCGAGTGTATATTCCAATACGTTTTCACGAGAATTTCTAGTTTTTTCTTTCGTTTATGCATTGTCTGAGTTGCGTTGCACTAAAGCAACCATAATTGCGCTTGACTTGGCCCATTGGGAGATCACAGGAGTAAGATAATTCGTAATCTCACGTGCGGACATGCCGGTCAGTGAATAATAAATTTAAATTTAATTGTCA